GCTCCTTCCTCCTCAGGGGGAGGACCCCTCCCACTCTCCCCCTGCTCCTGCATGGGGTCCCTGCCACAGGAGACAGTCCTCCATGAACTTCTCCAACGTGAGCGCTTCCCACGGGCTGCAGTTCTTCACAAACTGCTCCAGCCTGGGTCCGTGCCACGGAGTGCCGTACTTCAGGAACAGGCTGCTCCAGCATGGGTCCCCCGCGGGGTCACAAGTCCTGTCAGCAAACCTGCTCCAGCCTGGGCTCCTCTCTCCATGGGTCCACAGGTCCTGCCAGGACCCTGCTCTAATGTGGGCTTCCCACGGGGTCAGAGCCTCCTTCGGGCATCCCCCTGCTCCGGCGTGGGGTCCTCCATGGGCTGCAGGTGGAGATCTGCTCCACCATGGGGCTCCGTGCACTGCAGGGAGACAGCCTGCCTCACCATGGTCTTCATCGGAGGCTGCAGGGAAATCTCTGCTCGAGCGCCTGGAGCCCCTCCTGCCCCTTCTTCTGCACTGACCTCGGTGTCTGCAGGGCTGTTGCTCTCACTTACTCTCACTCCTCTCTTCGGCTGCAGTTGTGCAGGGTTTTTTCCCCCCTTCTTAAATATGTTATCCCAGAGGTGCTACCACTGTCACTGGTGGGCTCAACCTTGGCCAGTGGTGGGGCTGTCTTGGAGCCACTGTCACTGGTGGGCTCAACCTTGGCCAGTGGTGGGTCTGTCTTGGAGCCGGCTGGCATTGGCTCTATCGGACATAGGGGAAGCTTCCAGCAGCTTCTCACAGAAGCCACCCCTGTAGCCCCATCGCTACTAAAATGTTGCCACGCAAACCCAGTACAACGAGCACGGTCAGATAACATCACAGCTAGTGGGGATAAAGGCAAATTAAAAGGTGATAATATTGTAAGGAAATAGATCAGATTTTAAAAAAAACAGAGGCAAACTAATATTTACAACTTGTCTCCTGGACAAGGCAGGTACATACATATTTTACCCATCTTCTTGATTTGACTTTATGCATATATAGAGGTGTTAAGAAAATTAGGAAAAATTTGTAGGTGGTTGCTCTCTAAATCCTCTGACATGTGTGGAGGGGAATGGTTCTGGTTTTTTACCTATTTTATATATGTTAATACATTGTAAAAGAATTAGAAGACATGCCCAAAAAACCTAAACAAGGAACCATCTTCAACGACCTCCAGAATCTCGATGATGTTGAAGGAAATTCTAGTCTTATGTCTTATGTCTGGTACTTCTTTCCAAGTGTTCCTAATTTCCTTTCTTCAGGGTAGAATAGGAAATAAAATTGAGAGCGCCAACAAAGAAGTTGTGCCAAATCTTGCTGTGATAATTTAAGAAATTATCGCCTCCTGCTGTTCTCTCCACCCGCTTGCCAGATGTTACTGCCATAATAAGTGCACCCACTGAATTAAATCCACCTTTCTTTAGGGTTTGGAAAGCAAAGAGACTGGGCTTTGCCCAGGAGTGGCTGAGACATGGGCAAACATCATCATCTGCCAACTTTGGAAGCAGCATTTTCTGGCAGATTGGTGAAGGAGAGGAGCTAAGGAGCTAAAGGCGGTAACTTTGTACATGGCTCCATCACCGTTTGTTAGAGCTCGTCTGCTGCCCTCAGAAATAGCTGCAAAGAGCAACTGAAGAAATTGGTGCATCTCTGAGAATTTCTACTATCAGTGTCCATGGGGAGAGAGCTGACATTTGAAGTTACCAAGGTTAATGTTGAGACTGCTCCCTGCTGGAGAAAATTAGCAAATATGTGGTAATGAGCTCCACTTCACATAGAAGAATCTGTCAGCAGGTAATTAGACAAGGCCTTTGGGGGACAAAGGAAAGAAGTCTTTTGGCCATATTCAAGCATCTTTAAAGGTTTGTGATAAAGCAGAACGTTTTTACTTTATGCCTGATGGTTTTCACTGATTTTTTTTTTTTTCTCCATGGGCAAGAAGCATCTTTGTGGAAGCATTCCCCATCTCTACATATATTGTTGAGATATATACTGTATTCACCCATCTTTACAGATACTCTTATATCAAGATGAGAACGTACTGTAAGAAACTCAAGCTTTGGCCAGTGGAATACACAGCTAAAGCATGTTCCTCTCTGGAGAAGGATGAGTCAAATTAT